ATGAGGTGAGCTAGTCCAATGAGATGATGAGGATCTGTTACATTTTTTTGTTGCTCATAAAACTTGAAGGGGATTTAATGGATTTTTTTGTAATTATTATTTTAATTATTGGTTTTGAAGTCTCCGGGGGTCACAGGGTGTTCGTTTCTGGTGCATCGATCGTCCTTATACCCCTCTAGCCTCATATTTCCTGGATCACATCCCTTTATTTACCCCACCCCCATCAGAGCCCAGGCACGCTAGCGTCCCTTTCAATATTTCTCTATTTCAGCTAAACCGATTATTTTGGTTTTACACTATTTCCCGCTAATAGCATTCCTCCCGAATTTTTGTTTCAGCCGTATTTTTTAATCTTTTTGCTTCATAAATTTTGTTGGGATGACAAGGGGTGAGTTAAAGTTCAATGCCTATAAAAGCCACCTGTCGATTCGCTGTATTTATTCGGTGAATTTTACGTGAAAAAAAAAGTCCTGGGGATTCCGATGGTGTACACAGATTATCGCGCAATTGGTTTGTAATTGGTAGTATAATGGATATTTCGTAAGTGGCGTGGGGATAAATTTCATACGTTTTATCGATTTATCAATCTGCTTACAACGATATTATCCGGGGCATACGGCCACTTCTGCTCTGGCCTTTGACAAACCACTCGTGAAATTTCTCTCCCCTCCTTTCAAAGGGTTTTTGTAGAAACTAGCATGTCTCATGTATTCCCAGAGTCAAGAGAGTTAGTCAACATGTGGGAAACTGGATATAGGGAACAATCCGGCCCACGTAATTTCTCATTGTTCTTCCTCACAGTGTATGATAAATAATAATAGAATAGACATTGCAGCTGCTTGTCTGGTGAACAGAAGGTGATACAGAGGACCGCTCATTGAAATGTTCATATTTTCCCGGATAAACAAACTGCTAACTTCGTAGGCACCTCGTGCCATTTATATTTAGTCGATTTCTATGGGGACTTCATCTGAAAATCGATTTTTCCGCGTCGACATGGAAATATTTTTCCAAGGCGTTCGTTATTCTGGAAATGGGAAAACTAGAAAAAAATCGGTAATTAACGGAATAGTTGTTTCAACTACAGAAGGATTGGTTAATTTTTTGAAGAGATTTTTCGCCTACATGAATAAATGGATCGAAAGCAAAATATTAAAAAAATTTGAAATACTTGGTTTTGTTTATCCAAACTGTGGATTATGAGATGAATAAATATTTTTTTAAGTAATGCCAGGAAGATTGAATTACTACAGTTTTTTTTCGAGGGGATAATCGTTGATAGAGTAAAGTGGAGTAAATTCGAATCGTGGGGTGAGATGAATACCTTGAGTAAATGAGGGGGTGTATGATATGAGGGGGATACTAAAGATAACGATTATTTACTAGAACAATTTAAGAAAAACGCTAGAAATGAATTATGATAGTTGAATCCACTAATAACTGATAATTGAGTTGTTAAAATCCCAGGATCTTCTCCCGATTTCAGCGGCAGAAAAATTACCGGTTATTGAAAAAATTTTGAATTTCATCCCTATTTAATGATCCCCAAAATGTCGTGATCGTGCAATAATAATAAACTGCCAAAACGGTATATTTTTTTTCGGGTCAATCCGATCGACGATTCGTCTGAAAATTTGAAAAGGATTCCTGGAAATAAAAAACCGGTAATTTTAGCTGAAAGGGAGCAGAGCCTTCCTTAACAATGTCAGATGAATCTTTCAATGGGGTTGAGTCAAATTCCTGGGAATTTATCACCATGAAGCATACGATTTCAATATAAATGAGTCAAATGCTGTGGGTCAAGGGCGAGACATCAAGGATCCAGTAACGTGGGTCAAATGTTGTAGATCGGGTATCCTAGATTTAATATCACGTGTTACACGCCTTGAGAAGTGATGAGTCGGATCAATTTTATTTTCAGCTTATTTTTTAACGGCGCGGGAATTATTGTCGATATATCTTCTCATTTTTCATATTTTTTTATCAATTTATGGAAAGCCATGCATCAGATTAATGTAAAAAAAACCCCTGTTTTGGGTTTTATCATTATTTAATGATTTACAACGGAAGGAAAATTCTTCCACGGCGATAAAACATCGTGAGACACTGAATAATAATAAAACTTGAAAGCGATATATTTTTTTTGTCTGTAAAACATTCAGACTTCGGCTGCATGTCTTTGAAAAATAACAATTAATCTTTAATTAGTCTTATCTGTCTGTTACTATCAGCCAAAAGTTACTATTATTATTATTATTTATAATAATTAAAATGGTAATCCATTTTGAAAACTCGTAATTCATCCAACGGTATACATCGCGAATTACTGCAAAATAAATTTAACAATTTCTTCGGTAATTTGTCGAGGATGTGAGTAACATAAAGGAATAAATTACGTCCAGTCAACTTCCTCCGGGATGTGGTGACATTGAACAATTATCTAGTATGAATAATTATTCTACATTAACCGTTCGTGTTGAGAAATAATATTAAATACGAAATCCGAAGTCTCAAATTCCGAAATTCGGCATTTTCATTGGCCATTGCAATAAGATCGATCAGAAACTGGCATAAATTTCCATAAAAAATTCGATAAGTCCAATAATATCTCTAGATATATCTAGATATATATTTTTTCTACTAAATTTTGTGGGGAGTGTTATCAATCATCTGACAGCCATCCATCAAATGGATTAGACCACTGATAATCCCACTCGACACAAATCAGCAATATTCTCTATAATTCTCCCTCGCCACCAAAAAAGTCTTTTTGATTGAAAATGCAATCGATAAATTCCGGATTATTAATGAAGAAACCATTATTTGTTCTGTTGAAGGACGATGACGACCGAGTTCTTGGACAATAACTGATTAATTTAATCGGTGGATCAGGGATGGCCGGAATTTTCTTGGAATTGTTGAGGGATTATTGTCGGGGTGAAAAAGCTGGCAATGAGGAGAAATTGGGATCGTGCGGCGCTCGGAGTAGCGACCGCCAGGTCACCACAAGCTCACAGCAAGGATCCAATATTTGTTGAGGACAACAGGCTTGTCCAGTGGCACTGAATCCATTAAAAAAAGACGAAAAAGACAGTGGGAAAAAGGTTTGGCTCTAATTACAATAATTGTTTGGTTTCCTTATGTTTTTTTTTTCCATTTCCCATTCTTCCTGGTTCTTGGCCCCTTCTGCTGTCGGGTTAAGGGTAGGGTAAAATGAAACAAGGGATAAAATTAAAAAAAAAACATTTCTCAGGAAAATTTGACAGATATCTCCGCGATTTTAACTTGCGCTGCAATTTTTCACAGCCGGTGGATTGCCGTTCTTTTCAGTAATTGTATCGGTGTTTTTAGAAAATTTGTTTTTCCGGATTTCTCAAATATTTTGAAAAAGCAAATGTGATAGATTCTTGCGTTATTATTGAAGGGGTGTAACTGCCACAATTGTGGAATTTTTATTTGAAAAACTATAATTTTTTATATAGATTTTGGTTTAGAAATTCTATGAAAAAAATGAACGCACCCTATAATTCTATAGCTACGATATCATATTATTCATTTTATTATTATATTATATATCATATTTTCATTCCCGATGGCATAAAGTGTGAAGAAAGTATCAAAATGTAAAAGAAAAAATTACAGTAATTCGAGCGACTCTAATATCCAATCTCCGGAGAATAATACAACATAAATAAAGAGAAAGAAGAGTAAAAATTAAAATAAAAAGAGTAAAATCTTTAGACGTTATCTGTTATTCCGATATAAAATTACAAGAGAGAATTGGAGTTGTGGATAAAAAATCGTAACATTTCTTTTAACATCACGAGATAATTTCTCATTTTTGTATTACTAATTGCTCATTGCTAAATATGACTTCAGAAGGAATGGAGTACAGTAAGAGTTGGCAAGCTGTGGCACTTCATCTGACCACCACGACAATGACAACTATAGCTGTCATGACATACGTTCATGCAACAGTAGGAGCTGAAAGCACACTCAGGGATAGTCTAGCAGCATCAACTACTACTTTTCCTCGAGGGAACTCTGAGCCCTTTGATGGCCGCAGGGTAAATGGAGAACACTGGTTTATGCAGTGGAGATGACCCTCGCATTTCCATGCTCATTTTATTCCCCTGGCCTCTTCAAAAATTCAAGAATAGTTCAGAGAAAAGTTCTCACATTTCACTTCAATCTCCCCCAATCGATTCGTTTCGTCATTCCATGTCGTTAATTAATTCGTCAACGTTTCATCGTTTCCATTTTACTTTCCAATAATTTTTCAGGGATTATTCCAATTAGCCTAATTACATTATTCCGTCATCCAATTTATACGGGAATTTATAAATTTGAGAGGAGAAAGGGACAACTTCTGTGATAGTTTTGTGGAATTAATCTAGGAATTAAAACTCAAACCTTTTAGAGAGATCAATGAAATACATTTCCTGGTCATTTCGGATAATGACT